TGACATAAATATCTTTCTTTCTCCCTCAGATTTCTGTACATTTAAAAACTTCCCCAATCAGGTAGGAAGAACATTCCACCTTCACTACCTTGGGGAAACAATGATATACCAGGTTACAATGAAAAAAAAAGTTCAAAACTTGACCCTGGGATAAGGAAAAAGGATTGAATGTATGACAAGAGCAAAATTTCCATGCTCTCTGACCACTCAATTCTTAGGAAAGATATTCTGAAATTAGAACAAGAGTACCATAAACAGAATCGGGGGGGCGGGGGGGAGAGTTCCAAAAAAGGGTAGAAATTTACGGAATCCCAGGAGTCTTAGGATTGAACAGCTGTGAAAAATCATATCTTAGGGTTCAAGGAAGTAGCAAGAGATTCCTCATGGTGCAGGAGTATAAGAGGTGTGTGCACGCATGGAATATCTGTACAGCCAAGTCTCTAACAACCTCTCCAAGTTCCCCAGGAAAAAGTTGAGAATATTAATATGTGTCCAAGAGTAATATGAACACATTCCAAAGAACTAACAGGCTTTGAAGTAGAAGCAAGGGTGAGTGCTGCAGAGGACTATACAGAGCAATACCCAATGGTCAGGTAGGGAACTGGGACGTCTCAGTGGTTACAACAGGATAAAACGTCCCCAACTCTCCCATCTCATTATCTTTGCACTATGTAAGATGCAGTTTTGGAGAGGGTAATAATTGATTCATTGTTTTCCACATTTGTTAGAATAAAGGTGCAGAATGAACTTAAAAGAGTTTATTTATAGAAAAATGGACTATCTATCTTGCAAGTCTGAGTTTAATGAACATACATACATACATACACCTTCGACCTAAAGAAAAACATTATCCACTAGCCAGGTTGGCTCAGTGGATAGAGCACTGGCCCTCGAACTGAAGGGTCCCAGGTTCAATTCCGGTCAAGGGCACATACCTCAGTTGCAAGCTCAATCCCCAGCTCTGGTTGGGGTGGGTGCAGGAGGCAACCAATTGATGTGTCTCCATCACATCAATGTTTCTCTCTCCCCCTCCCACTCTCTCTAAAAATTCAATGGGAAAATATCCTCAGTGTGTGGATTCACAAAAAAAGGGAAGGGAGGGAGGGAGGGAGGGAGGGAGGGAGGGAGGGAGGGAGGGAGGGAGGAAGGAAGGAAGGAAGGAAGGAAGGAAGGAAGGAAGGAAGGAAGGAAGGAAGGAAGGAAAGGAGGAAAGAAGGAAGGAAGAAAGGAAGGCATAAAGCTGAGACAGGAAAAGTATGAAATTTTGAAACAAAAACATCTGCCATGTTCCATCCCTGCCTTTATCCCTACTAGTAAAATAATATAAAACAAGCCTATCCATCTAACTAAAAAGGATACCCTGTCAATTTATTTTAGAGAATATAACTTCAAAAGTACTGCCTCTACACGGGCATTTGATGAGTATAGATCAACATGCCAGGGCAGGATGGGCAGATCATTATGAGGTAACTGTGAGCCAGACTTTGTTTATATTGTGTCCTCAGGAAAGCAGGTCATGCTACTAGTGAGTAAATAAAAGCTAAAAAAAATCACTAAGTGTATTTTGCTGTCTTACAGTGATATATGTGGGAGGGGATATATACATGTGTTTCTATATATATTTTATGTATATGTGCAAAGCAAACAAAAAGCAATGTGCTTCAGTGTCGACCTTTGCAAATTAGTTGTTAATCCAAACCCCAAAGAATTCCAATTAAGCATAACTTAAGTAAAGATATGAAGAAAAAAAATTGAATGGTCTTTTGATCGTGCTTCTAAGTCTGAATTCCACATAACAAAAACCTCAATATTCCAAAATGGAGAACATCAAATCATGATATCACTTCTCAAGTCTATAAATAGCTTCCATGAGTTCTCTGGTTTTATAGTCTTAGGTGTCTTCTGCACTATAAAGTAAGGATCGAGAGGTATAGACTTTTAAAAAATTATCCACATAAAATATAGCATTTATGATTTAGAGGAAGCTAAAAGCATTGACTTAGATGCTGTTAAAACTATAGGTACAAAGTATTAAGTTGTTCAAATAATAATTGCTAAATTAAAGCATTAGAAACATTGTATTACCAGATACTGAACATGACTCTGAAGTCTCCTTTTTTAACATGGTTTAATGGAAGGGATATAGGTAATACTTGTAGGTTAGGATACGTAATTAGAACCAAAATTCCAACAGTGAGTTACTACTAGTCCTGTGAGTTTTATGTGAGCTATAGCTCTTGGCTTTAGCTTCTGCTGAAAACCCTAGCCCTGGAGAAATTTTAACCTGTTGACATTTCAGAGTGTTTTCTACAAAACAATAGCAGTACATCCTCAATTTCAAGGAATCAAATTCTTTCTAAATTACCCCAAATTTACAGATGGCTCTCAGGAACCTAAGTTCATTTGCAACAAATCGTGTCTTCTGGTTAGAAAACTGGAGATAAATTTTTATCATCAGTATATGGAATATAACTTATATTAGGGCAGGTAATTACTTTTCTTAGTGTGTTCGACATGGTTTAGGTATTCAGGAAAAAATAATCTCCTAACTATGGAGTTTACAACAGGGTACATAGGGTCTAGGTGTTCCATTAAGATGAAAGAATAAAAAAAATTATTTGCCCCCAGCACCATTTGCTTTTAAAGCAATGAAAGAAAAAAGACTTGACAATGCGTATCAAAGCTAAAACACTAACCACATATGGGTCATAAGCATCCTTTTTACATAAACTAACACAAAGCACAATATTGAACACAGGGTAGTGCTTATTTATAAAAACAAGGAAGGGGAAATCCATTTGGTTCTGTTCTGTTCTCCCATCCATTTCTTGAACACCCAGTAATAAATTCTCTTAGCTGGAGCTCTGGAAGCTTCGGAGGACATAGCTAATGAACTACAGGTTCTGCTGCTGGTGAATTCCATGCTCCCAAATTTAGGAGACATTAAAAAGCTGTACTACTCCTGGAAATGAACCTCAGTGCTATGGAATCAGGGAAATCTGCTTCACAAATAAGGGGGGAAATGCTGATCCAACTGCAACCTAGTTATATATAACCAATATGAGATTGTAGACCAATTATATTAAATAAGATAATAAATTTTTTTTAAAAAGCAAGTGGTATCTAGAGTTTTATGTGAGATATAGCTCGTGGCTTTAGCTTCTGCTGAAAAACCTAAAATACGTTCATATGCTGAATATTTGGGCCCAGAAAGAAACTCAGAGATATTTAATATGAAGAAACAAAGATGGATCTATTTTGGAAAAGTGAGTGTGAGCTGGGTCCCCTGCTCTCTACCATCTCCCCACCAACCCTCCAAAAACAATAAAACCCTCACCATGCTGAAGTCTTTAGTGGAGACCTGAGAGGTGAATAATGTTGTGCCAGCATTACTCGGCCCTTTAGGTTATTTAGGGAAACATGTTGCCTTTTTCAAGCAACAGAAATTTGTGAGTTAGATGACATCATGCTGCCTTGAATGAAACAGCTCGGGCTCCAAGTTCACCCAAAGGCCAACAGTGATAAACTCTCATCCAAGGACAAACTTCAATATAGTTTTGGTACTTATTAAAAACAGCATTTATAAAGCAACCATACAATAAGAGAGGGCTCTATAGCAAACTCTGTTTCTGATCAGAAAGCACTCAGGACCTGAGAAAGAAATTCTGCTTGGGAATGTAGTTTCCTAGTACAGAAACTAAAATCTGCCTTTAAAAAGAAAGGCTCAAAAGGCCATCCAAAGGCAAAGTGGTCTCAGGTACTGCCAACGAACAAGCAGGTCACAAAAGGGGAACTACAACAACCAACAAACATATGTAAGAGCAGTAATCAGAG